TCCAGTGGATGGTCCTTAAATCAATTTAATTCAAAGCCTAAATTTTGTTTAATCATCAAAAAAAAAAAAATACTTTCTTGAAAAAAAAAACAGAGAGGGTGAAGATTATATCTAAATGCATATAGTTTTTATTTTGCTTAAAAAGTTGAAGTAAATGATAAAAAAAATTACATGTGTTCTTTTTAAGTGCAAGGTTTGAACAATGTGCAATTATTGTATATATTAATTTTTGTAAAATGGAACCATTATTGTTTATATATCACCATTGTTTATTGATTCTTACCTCTCCAGTGTCATCCATGTGTTGCCGTAGCAATGCCAGCCCTGTGGTAGCTTCAAGACAGGTGTAAGCTTTCCCCAGACCTGGCAATTCCTCCATAATCCTCCTCTGAGCAAACATGGTGAAACCCTTAAAAATCATCGACTAATATTTAACAAGGCAGGCTAAACCCTCTAAGATCTCCATCTTTAGTATTATCAAACCAGCTAATATAAAGACTAACCTAAATTCTTTCACCATAAAATTGAAATGAATAATAATGAATAATGATGAACACTTACTGTATAATTTGATTTTTGTGTGCTAGTTATCATGTCATTTGTAGTGTCAGTTTGTATACATGTACGTGATGAAGAAAATCAAATGTCACCAATATATTTTGTACCTCATTCAACCAGAACTCTCCCCAATTGGCATTGGTAACAAGATTTCCAAACCAACTGTGGGACTGAAAAGTTGAAGACAAACATTTAACTTCTATTTACAAAAAGAATTTAAAAAACAATATCAAGGGCCACTTTACACAAAACATACTTTCCTTCTAGATTTTATGTTTTAAATCCATTTTCGAAGTAAAGTCAATTTTAAAGATTTTAAAACAGTAAAATGGAAAATACCTAATAAAGGTCTATGTATTACTTACTATCTCATGAATGACAACATCAGTCAGTGATTTGTCTCCAACTAGTAAACAGGGGGTTACAAATGTTAGGCAAGGGTTCTCCATTCCTCCATATGGGAAAGATGGCGGCATAACAAGCAGGTCATATCTTCCCCACTGATATGGTCCAAACAACTCCTCCCCTTTGCTGAGAAAAATTTCCACTTCTCCATCAAATTCATTTTTTGCTTTTTCCTGCAAGAGAGATTATAGCCACTGGTGTATCCAGTGGAGAGAGAGAGAGAGAGAGAGAGAGAGAGAGAGAGAGAGTGTGTGTGTGTGTGTGTGTGTGTGTGTGTGTGTGTGTGTGTGTGATATTACTTTCATTAAGGATATACTATGATATACAAATCCCTGTTAGAAGAGGGCTAACAGGTACATGTAACGTACATTACATACATGTACATGTACTACCATTACAGTTAACACAACTTGCTATAATATAGAGCAGTTAGTGCCGGTCACCACAAGTGAAGTAAAGTAAAGTAAATAATTTTTTAAAAGTTAACTACAGTTCTGTATTACCTATCTTCTCTCTTTTTTCGTCGTATTATTATCCAAAACTCAAAATTTTGTAGCAAATAACATGGAAATTAAATGACCCTCCTTATTGAAAATATGAAAAAAATAAACTATCTACAGCTAACAAATGAAAATTTTAGCAGTTTTACCAGCATAGAGGGCTCTGTCCACACACGACTACGTGGTCCAATCTCGGCACTGGCCAGGTCACCCACAGCCAGAGCAACAAGGTAGGACTGGACTGGCTGCTGGAGACTGAAGAAAAATGTCTCATGGTCATCTTCTGCTGTAGCCTCCTTTCTGGACTCACTGGCACTCATTACTGCAGTGAAACCCTTTGGCACCTGAAGAAGATAAATTGATAAAAGAATTAATAACAAACAAGCATCAAATACCAATAAAACCAAAGCATTATAGCCAAAAATATTTTTGCAAAAGCAAATAGAATAAAAATAACATCATTATCATTTCACAGTTTAATTTAAATGAAAAAAATTTAAAATTTAATACCAAAAAGTAACCCAAGTTGGAGGTAATGACAATTTACCATATCATTACATACTGTGGAAATAAATAAGTTGTCATGGTATCACTGAATATGTTACACTGAACAATTACAAAACACAAACTAATAAGATCAGTCACCAAGACAATTTCTTTTAAGATATTTCAGGTGGCACTCCAAGATAGAACCAACTCAGAAAGTACATGTAAATGTCATAAGTGGCATAACTGACCTTGACAGTGGCTGAATATGGACATTTGACAGCAGGAGTGTCCTGGCAAGGAAAGAATGACCTGTTGCATGAGGCCTGACCTTGAGTGTACATGTATGGCTTCACCTTGCCTGAAAATATAAAAATATACCAGTACATACATATTGTGTCAAATGCAGGAAACATGTTTCACTGTTGTCTAAACATATGCAGACATACAGCAGTGTAAGTTTGTAAGTGCTGTAAACAGTAACAGTTTATTTAAGTTACCTGCAGTTTGGGCTGGATCCAGCCAACACACTCCAGGGCCACCTGTTGATACATAGTCAATCTTCAAAACAAATTTCTTGCCACCTTCATAAGTTTCTGGAAACTAGAAAATTAGAGTGACATAATTTTTATATGTTCTAATGTAAGCTGAAATTTTCACTTGTTTTCTATGCAAGGTAAGTAAATGTCATAGGTGTGAGTGTAAGTATGCCTCATTTCACATTATAAATCTGCAAAAGCAGACAGATGAATGAATGAATGGGGAGGAAGGTGGGTATTTAGATAGGAACGTGGATTTTTTAAAAATATGTACTGAAAATGTCACCTAAGACCCTGTCTCTTTTTTTGCATTTATAATAATAATAATAATAACTAGAGGATCAGAGAGGCGATACTGCCTCCGAATATTGTACCACCAGCTGGAGCAAGCGCATTCTTTTAGACCCCCACATACACAAAATAAGGGACACAGCCACCAGTCTTGTGCTTGACAAGCTGTAAACATGCAACAAGAATTTTAAAAATATGCAAAAAATACATATAACTAAAAATGGTACAATCATATTTAAGTTAATCGTAAGGTAGGTCAAAGGTCAATTTCAAGGTCACAGTAAATTGCCAGTATATGACTTCCTATTCAAGTTCAATAGTAACTATGGACCTATCTCTGCCAGTTTTAGAGATAAAAGGGAAGCAAATTTTGCAAAGTTCAGTTCATGGTGAAAAGTAGGTCAAAAGTCAATTTTAAGGTCTCATCTAGATTGCCAGTATATGACTTCCTATTCAAGTTCTATAGTAACTATTGACCTATCTCTGCCAGTTTTGGAGATAAAAGGGAAGCAAATTTTGCAAAGTTCAGTTCATGGTGAAAAGTAGGTCAAAGGTCAATTTTAAGGTCTCATCTAGATTGCCAGTATATGACTTCCTATTCAAGTTCTATAGTAACTATTGACCTATCTCTGCCAGTTTTGGAGATAAAAGGGAAGCAAATTTTGCAAAGTTCAGTTCATGGTGAAAAGTAGGTCAAA